ACCACTCAAAAAAAAGAAAAAAGAAGGGTGGTCCTGGCTGAGCTTAAATGGGCTCCTGGGCCAATGGGCAGGGGCCTGGCAGAGGCTCCAGGTGAGGCCGCTTAGGCCATTAGGGCCTCAGGGCCCTGACGCCTACGCTAGAGAGCACTGCTGGTGCTGACTCACTGACTGGGGAGAGGGGTCTGAGAGAAAACAGCTGGGACAGACGTACGGGGAGACTGTGGCTAATACAAAGGAGTGTGACTGTACCAGGGCAGTGCTGTGTCACAACCGCTCCAGACCTCCACAGCTTCCCTGAAAACAGCACCTACAGTGGTGAAGGCTTCTTGCTGAGGTGGTTAGACAGAGGGCCAGGCTCCATCACCGACAAATTGAGGAGCAACATATTTGGAATTTAGCTGCAAAACAAACAAACATAACAAAAACACTGTTTCCGTGTTTTACTGTGGTATCTGTGATTCTGCAACTAAGCAGGGTTTGGAGAAGCAGTCACAAATTTCGAGTTTCCACTGGCATTTCAAAGCTCATACGTGCTCTATCGCCCTCCATCAGCAGCCTGCAGTCTCAGGACAGCTCCAGCCTCATTGTGTTGGATTTCCTCAGCCCCGGCCCCTCTGGAGAACATTCCATGTGCGCCCTGCATCTCCCCAGACTTTATCCTCGTTTCAAATCTGCAAGCACAGATTTAGAAACAATCCACTTCCCCAATGCACTGTTACGAGCTGTGCCGAAATGTCAGCTGTAGTAAAAACAGTAAAACAGTAACAGTAAAAATAGTAAAAGCAAAGAATAAATCACCAAGTCCCTGTTGATGTGCACTGTAACAGAGGTGGCAGAGACTGCTTCAGCCTCTGCCAATTTGCCGCGACCGAGTCCTCTCGTGCTTTCGGTGGCCGCAGAAGCGCCCGCGGCGGCACAGACGGGACGATACCTCGAGAGCCACCACCTCTGCACAGCTCCTTGTCCCAGAGCAGAGCGGCCAGAGGCCGGGCCTGGAGGAAGGTGAACGCAGCGGAGAGAGGCAAACAAGCAGGTAATACCCTGGAGCAGAGAGGAAGCCAGGGTGAGGCTGGAGAGCTTCCTACCACTGTAGCTATTGTCTCGCTGCTTCCTTTGCTTCTTAACTAGGGAAGCCAGGGTGACGCAGCCGGCGTGATTGAACTAACTCGGTGACAGTTGCACGATCTGGTCTTGCAGCGTGATCAGAGTTGGTTCTTGACCGTCCTGAGTGCTGAGTCATAACAATTAAAGAGATGCAGGCTCATTCCCCATACTGGGTGATGTTTCTCATTTGCTAAAAATGGCCAAATGGCGATACTCATATGTGCAGTTCTGCTATCCACAAAGCTCAGCACACCCAGAAATTTGGAGATACTGAGATTTTTTTCCTCCTCCTGAATGGCAAACAGAATATTTTGACACTGTAAGCCTTTTTTTTAAAGACTGTAAATCTTAAAAAAAAAAAATCTTCTTTGTAAAAATTTTGCATTTCCTCAGGGAGTGAAAGGCCAGGGAATCACTTTGTCAACATTTCCCAGTGAGCTTGAATAATAAGGATATGACCTCAAAGAAGTCAACTGTGACATGAACATTTTCTCATAACAGAAGATACAATCATTATCTCACTGCAGGCCTTAGGCAATGAGGCTGATACGTTGAACATTGACCAAAGGAGAAAACGTGTGTACGAACAGCAGCATCTTGTCCCAAACCTAGACTCGATATAAAAGCAGTTCACGTGTCCTCAGACTACCAGCCTTTCTGCTCTGTTGCAAGAAGCCAGCTGGACCTTTCCCCCAGTGTGGCACAAAACCTGCCTCCCCTTAGAGGAGATTTAAGAGGGGCAACAGCTGTCCTGAGTTGCTGTGTTGCTATCATGGCTTGCTGTCACGTTGTCAGGGGCTTTTGCCAGGTGTCTCTGGTGTCCTCCTGCCTGGTCCTCCTGCTTTTCCTGCCGGTGGAGGATCAGCTCCAATGATCACTGATCACCCGCTATGACTACAGCAGCTGGGAAAACCCTTAGGCTGAAAGAAAATGGGGGAAAAAATGCATTTGGCATCAACTTAGAACCTGACTGTGGGGTGAGCACCAGGTGAGGCCGAGGCCAAACACCTCGACAGTGTCCTCTGAACAAGGAGTCCTCAGTTCTCCTCTGCTGGCAGAGAGCCCCTTGACTCCAGTGTATCGCTTTACTCAAATGCTCTCACATATTCCTAATACTGAGACTATAAACTGCCAGAGCAGCTAAATATAGGAACAAAATAAACAAAGTATATGAGAAAGAAAAGGGTATTTTGTATTTCTTCTGATTTTATTCGTAGTACATCTTTCCTTTTTCTAGTGTTCTTTGTTGAGCTGGAAAATGCTTCCTTATTGCCAAATCTGCACTTAATCTGATGTTTTGCTATATGTATTTATTTTATATTCTTCCCTTGTTTAGTCAGGATTCCTCTATAAATACAAGTTCCCCTCTCTGTCATAGCCAAAACTCATCTCAGAACCGTGGGGCTGACCTTGTTGATGGGCACCCCAGGAGTGCAACCGTGCACTCGAGCCCTGTAACAGTGTGAGCACTGCAAACCCTGCAGCTCAGGTCTCCCTTATTTCAAGCAGCAGGTTTAAGCTGCGCCCAGCTGCGTTCCTGCCTCTGCCCTCCACGGAGACGTCGCTCACGCGTGCTGCCCCTGCACAGGGGAAGGCGCAGCGAACCGCGCGGCTCCTCCGCTCGCCCTGCACGCGGCGACGCAAACGGCTTTTTGGTCGAGCTCTGGCTCATTGCTCCAAGGACCCGGTTATTTCAGTGGGTCTGGGGACAGCACTTGCGTTAGACAGGCGGTGGCCGGGAAATGGAGCAGAGCACGAGCAGCTCTGAAGCTGCGAGTTTCTCCCGCTGCCCATGTGAAGTCCAGCTAACTTTTGCCATCTTCTGGAGGAAGGGGATAAAAGTAGATCCTCAGTTCTGTTTGTGTTTTAGCCAAGTCCGGGCATTAAAGCTATTGCCCCCCTTTTCTCTATTCACACAGAGAGACAGATAAGATAAATATCACAAATATCCCTAAGAAAGCTCTTCATGATGATGCTACACACACTTTCATTATTCACTTGAGGCTCTAAAACTGAATATAGCAATTCCCTTTATGGATCAGGCAACAGTGACCATAATTTTGCACATTACTGAGCTGTTGCCCATTTATTTGCCATTCGCACAAAGGTCTCTAACTTTGTAGATTCTTTTTTTGTTTGTTTTTAACTATTTCATTTCCCATTCTCCAGTGATGTTTTCCTTCAGCCTCAGACTCTAGAAGCAGATTTCATCCAGCTGGTTTCTGTGCCTGTGTCTTTTTTTCTCTTCTTTTATTAAAACATTGGGATTTTTTTCTTTTTTTTTACACCACTCCCTTAACCTCCTCAGAGGTTAAGCTATGTTGTTTCCCCATATGTTGTGATCACAGCTCTGACCTCCAGGGAGTTGCGGACACCGAACCCCTCACCTGTGGGGTCCCAGGTCACTAGGTGCCCAGAGGGAGGGCAGAGGCGGGGACAAGGTAAAGGAAACCCAGGACACGATGAGGGAGGCAAGAGGACTCTGGAGAGCCAAGGTTTGGAAGCAGCAGGCGGGGGGAACCATGGATGGGGAGAGGGAGGATTCTGGCACTGGATCTCCCTGGAAAAGGAAGGATTCAGTGCTGCCTTCTCCCTAGCAGGTCCACTGAGCTCACACTGAACTCCACATAAACTTTGTGACTGACCTTCCTCTTTGCAGGCCATCTTCAGCACCACCTTCACCACAATCCCTCTCGAGGCAGGTGCATAGAGGACACTCTGGGCGTGTTTGGGGTTTCCCCATGCAGCTTTTGGCATTGCGGCGCCCAAGGAACTGCTCCGTAATAAAGCAGCGGTGCATTTCCCCACAACTGACATAAAAATCTCCTCCATGGGAGTGCTGTGCTTTCCCGTGGACAGTGAACTCACTTCCTTCAACTTTGTTTACAGCTGTATGGGAGGCTTTTCCTCTTCCATTCCCTTTTCCAAGAGCAAGGAGACAATAAGACATTGTTAAATGTTAAACATCCAGATTTCTGTTTCTTGTCTTACAGCATAACAGAGCTAGTCAAAAATGATGAGAAGTGAATTAAAGGTTGAGGGGAAATGGCAAAATTTCACTCAGATTTTTATCCAAAGCAGCAGCAAAGACATTCGGAAATGGTTCAGACATCACTGGAAGCCATTTTTTTTTTCAAAACAATAGGGATTTGCCATGAAACACTTAAGAATAGACCTGTGATTCTCACTGAAAATAGAAAATCTTAGTAGGAGTGATCTGGACAAAGCCATAGGCAGCAGGGCGAGTGAACACATCATGCGGGTCGCTGGCGAACTGCACAGAGTGATTTCTAACAGCACCATCAAATACAGCAGCTACAGACAGACCCGTCCATCGGTGCCATCAAAAAGGTGCCCTCCCTGGAGGGACAATCACGGGAAGATCTTGGGATGCTTTGGGGTGAAGAGGGAAGCTGTCCATAGTGTATGGAAGGAACTGAAGGAGTCTGCTCGCACCCCGGGAGGAGCGCTAAGTGAGGACAGAAATGGAGCTGGAATGGCCCTTGGAAAACTGGGAAGCAGTGCAAGCCCAGCAGCTGCCTGCATGGTACACTCGGCCACGCAGGCACCCGAAAGCAAACCAAGCAGTGATGGTTTGGATGGTAAGATGAGGAAATTTCCCCTCTCCACTCTGGCTGTAGAGAGATGACTGAGGCCAAGTATTTTCGTGTGCTCGTGTCAGCTTTGTCTGGCAAACAGCCCTGGACAAGCCTGGCTGCTGCTGGGGTGCTATCTGGGGATCCTGCCTCTGCAGACTGCTCTCGCGCTGGGGGGATTTCTTTAAAAACACAACCAAACTGTGGGGACGCTGAGGTCAGTGGGCACAGCAGCATTTTGACTTGCATCAAGAGAAGACAACAGCCTTGGGTGCCTTTGAAATGAACCCTGGGACAGGGCTAAGAAAATCCAGCAAAGGGTTTCTGGAGGAGTCTGCCCAGGCCCATGGATGGGCAGATGCAGGAAGGTTTGGCAGCAGCCCCGGGGATGCCCAGCTCCCCAGAGGAACGTGGCCCACAGCAATATCCCGAGCCAGACACCTGGTCTCCTGCTCCCCTTTCCCCGAGGCGGCTTCCCAAAGCCACACGGACCATCCTGTCAAAGTCATTTTTGCTGGCCAAGCGTGGCATTTCTGGCACAGCAACAGACCAGCTTTCTAAGCACGAGTATAAAAATTTAGTCAAAGACACGTAACAAATGGTCGCAGTAGTCCCCAATACAACGGCTGAAGCCAGTGTTAAAGTAGCAAAGGGCCTGTTTGAAAGAAGGCAGTCAGATTCTGATGCACATTTAGCACCATTACAATACCAAAAATTACCTTAGTTAAACAGCATTACTCTAAATTATCACTCTGACTTTTTAATCAACAGCTGCCAGATCACCCCACTACATGTTGGAATTTTTCCTACCACTCCCCTCGTCTTTCCCAGCTCTATCCTTTCTCCATTTCTGCCTCTCTCCTTTCTTACTCCTTTCTGTCTCCCCGCTCTGTTTCAGGCTCTCCCGCTCTCCCTACCCTCTTTCATCAGCATTTCTTTGCTCATCCTCAGTTCTTTCCTGCTGTTTGTGCTCTTCTCTCTCATTCCCAGTCATTCATTTCTTTCATTCTGCATTAACTCTAACCTTGCTCTATGCATCCTGACAATCTATCTGTTTTTAATTGTTCCACTAAACCTAGCCGGACATTTCAGAGAGACGTGTGCAGTTAAACTGAGGACCTTTTCAAAGTCTTCATAATTCAACTTGATTCCATGTAGTTGATACAAGAGCCATATGTTTTTGTGGATCACGTATTATTTTGCACATGTGAATACTTACAGAACAGACATGCCTGGGTATCAATTGCTTTTGCTTTCTGAGCTGTCAATTAGTTCTGTGTCAAGCAATAGCACTGGTACTTTGAAAAGCAGGGAGATTTTCCCCACCCTTTCTCCATGCTTGTAAAAATGCCCCGTACGGTTTAATTGAGGCCCCCCGTGGGCAGTGAGACCCTCCCTCGACGTCCTTCCACCTACCGATGAGGATCACCAGGCTTTAGAGGTTGAGCATCACCAGGATCCATCCCTTCTCCGTCACCAGCAGCCCCCTTAGTGACTCCTTACAGGCACCTTCAGGATTTCTATGACTCATCCCAACCAATTCACTGGAAATTATCATTTATTCTACAGGCTTCTCAGTGCCAATCTCAGTGCTGCTACTCAAACTTTGCTGCATCATACCTGCTGCTAAGCCTACAAGGAGGGGGTACCAAAGAGGGAGATATCCTAGTGGATTCCTGGCTCTTCCTTCTCAGGAGTTAAAGCACTAAAGCAAACGTTAAAACCTGCCGAGGTGCGGGTGTGCCCTGCACATCTCTGCATTTAATGAGTGCATCCCCAGGGAAAAGTGGACAGACACTAGCGGAGATGTAAGTGGAGGGGAAAAGTTCTCACACTGATTCAATTAGGGTAGTAGATGTTGTAATATAGCTTCAAGGGATAACCGAAACTTTTGGAGAGTGCTTCTTTTTTTCTTTCCCTTTTGCTCTCCTTTGGCTGCTGCCACATGGAGCTCATTTCACATTTTGACTAAAATATAAGTGATACAGAGAAACACTTCTCACACTGTGTCCAACCCGCTGGCGCAGCGTGCGCAGACGCCCCCTCCCAGCCCCGCTTGCAGCTCTGCCTCCTCCCCGCTCTCCCAGCCCGTTTCGAGCCTCCTTTCCCACTGCTGGCCAGAAAACAGCAAGGGACTATCAGGCCACGCTCCGTGTCCTCCAGGGCCTGGGAAAGACTGGGCGGTTCAAGCATGGCAATGCTCCCCGCAGCATTGCACGAAGCGGGGGAAATACCACCCTCCAGCAGATAGCCCAGTAGCAGCAGAGGCGCACACCTCATATAACCCCCTGCCCCGACTCCGTGAGGTCCGTGCGAAGCTGCAGTCCCGGCAAGTTCTCCAGGAGCAAGCTCCCTTTCCTCAGCAGCAGTCTGGAAATGCTGCAAAACGCTAACAGGGAGCTCGGGGCCGCTGCGGTCGGTGTTTCCATGCTGAGAGCGGAGGCAGCTACAGCCCCACGTCCCCTCCGGCCACGACTGCGGCTGAAACACGAACACCGGGGTCACATTTGCAGTCCTCCTGTGCCACCTACACGCAGTGCTTAAGGCAGCACATTTGCAAAGGCAGCACAGGGCTCCCGTGGCTGTCGTGCTCCCTCCCTTTTCGCTGTCCCCTCGGCAGGGTGTCCCCAGGGTGACACTGTCAGCACCGAGGAGCCTCTGCCCCGGCCCATTGCAGAAGCGAAACAGGGACGGCCCCGTCCCAGGCCTCAGCAGGGCACCGGGGTCAGCGCAGATAAAGCAGCGCTTCCTTCTTCCCTCAGGATTCACCGCCACTTCTTTTCTAAGTAAACGGCAGTGACTAACGCCACGTGAGGAATGTGGGGATTCATGCAGGAGCTGGCACCTCTGAGGACGCTGCACCTACTGCACGAAGCACAAACCGGTGCTGTCAGCGAGCGGCTAGTTTGTGCCTGTGCACCGCGAACGCCAGCCCTGTGCGGAAAGGACTAGATCCTCGGGCACAGCGTGTTGTCCTGCTCGTCCCGTGCGGCGCCCTGCAACGCCAAACGCGAGTGTGCCCGCGAGCAGGGGCCGCGCACTGAGTTCGGGATGCAAGGACGTGAAAACGAAAGGCGGGCAGCAAAAGCCTCCCGGGCGGCTGCAAAGCCACCGAATCCGAGCGGGACCCGCCGG